ATTCCATGAAACTCTCTCTCATCCAATGTTTTTGCATTTTGTTGATCTTAACTTTTTTTATTGTGCAGTTATTTCATTTTTTTGTTAGTCATATTTTACATGCTTGTGCCATATCACTCTATTATGAAATATCTGTCACTTACCGTAGCTCAGCTACTGATTATAATCTGTCAGTCAGAGATAAAATGGCTTTGCCTTACACAGCACTTAAGTCTAAAACAGAGTTTTCCTCATGGTGTGGTTATAATAGAAAAATAAGCTATGTATTCAAGGCCAAACCGGAAACTGCAGCATTTAAAAAAATCTGCTTAAGGATAAAATATGCATATATATCATATATCCTGTATCCTGTGGTACTTGAGCAAGTTTCAGAGACATGATACAGCAACATTTGCATCATGAAGAAACATTGTACAATGAGAGCCATCTGTGTTTTAAATCAAATCTAATTTTGTTTTTGGGCCAAATTAATTTCTATTGGAAACATGTCTCTTTCACTCTCTGTGTAAACAATAATTTGTTAAAAGGGTGAATAAGAACTGCATTGATAACCTTCACCATCATTACTATATTCTTGTTACCACTATAATGATTATGTAGGATGTGTATGATGAATGATTCATCACCACCACCATGGTTGTCAGCCAGTGCTAACAGATTGGACCCTCAGACAGCACACTTTGGCACATTCTAGCTACATTCACATGCAACACTATAAAAAGATATTTGGCACAAAGTCACAAACTTGAATGTGAATTGTATAAATTTGTTGTACAATTTCATATTGCATTGTCTGAATTTTATGTCATTTTAACACCTAAAATGTATGTAATCAACAGCTGTCTTTTCATACTAGATGTTGTATAAAATGCTTTAAACAGGCTTCAGCATTTACAGTGTTACATAGACATCTTGAGTAGAAGTAAACTGATCTTCTCCTTCATGAATCACTTTAGTAAAATAGAAAGAAGGTGATGGAATATGTCAGTTTGTTTTTGTCGAAGTAGGCGTTGACCACAGACAGCCAGAGAACATATTCTGAACATGGAAATATCTTTTTTGCCTTATTCGTGGTTATGTTTTCAAACACAGCTTTTTGGTAATTTAGAGCAGGTTTGAATAGGAAGTTCATTAATAGCCTGAACAGTCAACTGTTAACATTGTAACATGCACACACAGAAAATAACTGCTAACATGAATAAACCTTTCATGGAATGTGCAATGATATAAATGTGCACCATGTAAAAATGTAAACTTAGGAAAGTGCAGAAAGACAATTTTCTAGGCAGTCCTGAATAAAGTCATGTATAAGCATTTTTCTAACATGACTAATGCAAAATCACTGTACGTTTACCACAAAATATATTTGGTGGGAAGGACAGAGTTTATCTGAAAGTGTTGCTCAAGAGACTGAGGATGTTTTTTCTTATTATTAATCTGATTGTGTCTTGCAAAATATCTTTCTTTATAAAATGCAAAAGAAAGAGAAGTTTTACTTCCCCATAATTTCACAAATGTAGGTTTGTGTTATATTATAACTGCTTTGACGGTTTTTGAATATCATTATATTTGTCATATAGACAAAAAAAATATATAAGTACTGTTGTTTCAGCCCCTGTTTTGGACTCTTTTCCAGAAACTGCGGAGCAAGTGCTCTTCTGGAAAGTTTTGAATATTGGCGCTCCTTGTTTAATTTCAATTGAATATTTTGAAGGAGACACGCTTAAGAGCAAAGTGCTAGCACCCCTAAAATAAAAGATATTTAGTTATAATATGGTAGATTCATCTTTTGTTGGAATTATTTTCATGGTCAAGTGCTCTCACTATTTGGAGGTTTCCATCAGTACCATCTGCTAGCCTGTCTTTGCTCTTAACAGAGCAAGGAAGTGTATTCTGTTTGTAGTGTGTAAGAAGGTGTAGCTTTTAACACTAAAGGATTGTAGCACAACAGGGGATAGAGACTTCTTTTGAAGGTCAATAGAAGACACTAGTCTGTTGTAAAAGTAAACTTCTGAACAATATATGGTACTGTATATGACTAATTATACCAGCTAAGCAATTCAAAAGCTTCTTTCATACAAGCATCTGAATTTTGTCCGTCAGTGGAGTAAATCACCCATCCATTTTCAGAATGCCTTTTGAAATTCAGGGTTGTATGGGAACCTGGAACCTGACACGAGGCACAAACAAGGGTACACCTTGGACAGGATGCACACACGGGAACAGGCACACTAACACACCAGGGTTTTTCCCAGAAGCCAGTTAACCTAGCAGTATGTCTTTGGACCGTAGGTACCCAGGGAGGACATTCAACATCTACACAGCTAGCAGCCCAGGAACTGAACCGAGAGACACATCACTACAAGGCAGCAATTCGAATCACTAGGCCATTGTTCTGCCCGGGTTTTAAATCAGTTTCTGGGAAATGAAAATAATTTTCTCAATTATTGTTTTCCTTACAAAACACTAAGACTGCACTAGCAGACCTCATTATCCCAAGTAATTGATCCCACAGGGATTGTAGAGTATATATAAGCTTAACACCCAGGTAGGCACAAGGGTCACTTTACATCAGTTTGAGTCAAAATGTATCTGACTCTGTTATCAGTGATCACTTTTTTGGTATCATTTAAGGTTTATTAGTAATCATTTTTGGTGGTTGGGTACTCCCTTGTAGTTGGTTGATACTGAAAAAAATAGTTAAATTCACTACATATGGCCTCTGTATGTGTAATTGGATGTGTTTTCTATTACAAATAGGAAAATCTTTTGATAACCTGTGCATGACTTTAAAGTGTCAATCCAGTTACGAGCATGTTTGTTTATTTTAATAACATTTGTTAATGATAAAATATTAGTTTTTTTTATTTGTTTTAAGGAAAAACCTCTTAGGTTCAAAAGGAACTCAATATAATACTATTCTTTAAAAACAATAAAAAACTTAAATGCTAAGTTAAAAATATATATATATTTAACATTAACTTATTCATAACTCATGTAGCCATAAAGTATGCTCACAATAAGCATGATAACAATATTCTGTAGTAATATGAAACATAAACATCTAAATAATATACAGTATATTACTAATTTGTTGAGATAATTTTGAAGGGTACAAGTATGAACTCAGAAGCTGTCTGTGATACCATTGAAGTCAATTAACAAATTACTACTATTTACTAGTCAGAGTCCTGTAGCAGGTTGTACTTTGCTGTTGTTGTATAAGCATCTGAGCATGCATTGGACTTGTTAATGACTAAACTCGCTTGTAGCAATAACTGAGCATTATAGTCCAGATATTCTTGTACTAACCTGGGCTGTGTTTTTAGGCAGTTGTGACTGATATGTGACTGATATGCCCTAGGCAATAACACACTGTTGTGAATTCTGAATTATTATTATTGACTTAATGCACTTATGGCCTTGAGCTGGCCAGGTTGATCTCAGACTGATGCACAACAGTGACCCCTAGAGTTTGCAGTGCAGCAATGTCTAAGAAGAGAGAACTCCAGTCAGGCATTGTGTAATTGACAGTTGGCCTAATAATATCTAAAAGTACAGGGAACTGAGAAAAGATTTTATAAACCTTAATTCCTCCTCTGCTAGTGCAGGTTTTGTTGAGGTGAGGAAAAAAGATTCACAATTCACAATTACAGATTGGGTGATTTTAAAAAAGGAGAATTTATTATTGATTTTTTAAAAGCTTTCAACAGCAGTAAATTTATACTGTAAGTTCTCAGAAAATAAAAAAGAGCTGCAGTACCGGACCAAAAACGAAAGGTCAAACTAAAAATGTAATTTATATTTTAATTTGACTCTTGTTCTGCAAAAAGGTTGTTTTATTTCAAAAGACAAAGCTTGTTTTGTATTTTGAGTAAAGCTTTTGTATTTCTTGTAGTTTAAGAAGCTCGTTCAATGCAAATCCAAATAAATTACACGTAATACTCATTTTGTAATGCTTGACAAAAACAAGAAACATAATACTTCTAGTAAACGTTCAGCAAAATAAATATGAATATTGTAAACTCAGAATTTAATGTTTTTGTTGAATAACCCCCAGACATAAAATATACCTTTAATTTACTCATGGCCCAATGGAAAATTCATGCTTTTTTTTGATGTGCTGCGTGTGATTTTCAAGGAACTTCCAAATACTGACAAACTCTTACGACGTAGCAGGGAACCCCACCCTCAGCCTCTGATCCCTCATGGCTCTCTCCATCATTAAAACTGGTTGTTCCTGCTTTCTTATCAGGCTCAGACACAGTGGTGTTTGGAATGTGTTTTCTCCTGGTCGACTTCCACCTCTTCCCTGAGTGCAGTTCTTGTAATCTCTAGTGTACTTTTAAGCTTTGTTAGATCTGAAGAAAGCCTTAATTGTGCTTTACCCCTCTCATCCTAGCACCTCAAACACCCTTCCCTCTCTTCTGTGTGGAGCATAACTATCACTTCTTTTTCAAATTATATTACTGAAAATGTACTCCCGTTTTTCTGAAAGTCATTTGCTGAACTGCAAACCTGCATGTTCAGAGGCCAGAAATATAAAGATGGCAAAGACATAATTATTTAGCAGGGGTATATTCAAAGCTAGTGAACCTGGAAAACGTTTTCCAGAGTTTTGTGAATGTTTTCAAGGTTGTTTTGCATCGTTGGTGACGCAAAATAAGGCCCTGTTTAATGTTTAAACACTGAATCATTCTGCACACTGTAGTCTGGTTCTGTAAAACTTTTTTAACACCCTGACTGAAATATTTTAACCCATCTTTATCTTTAACCCTTGCAGTTTCTCCAGCATGATCACAAATAACTAGACTATTCTACACCGCAGCTGTGCAAGCTAAATTCAAATTCCAAACTACTCCCGCTTTCAGTTTCATGTGGCGCTAAACATGTGACACGCTGTACAACTCTCCACCATTTTTGCCCCTTTTCTTTTCACTAAACCATATCTTTGTTCCCGAAGCAAAAATTATAAAGTCAAAACAGCAGATTTACTGTACCTTAGGCTTTCTGGGAACCCAAAGAAGTTGAAGGTACTGGCTTGTACAGCTGAATAAAATGGCTGCTGTGGGTTGGGGAAGTGATATCTCTTTACATTTATGAGTCATATCTGAATATTTCTTAGCCACACCCAGGTTGCTTTAGATTAGGCAGGTGAGACAGGGCATTAACACCAGGGCCAATAGACAGCCACCTTGTTTTTTTGCTCCTCCTAAGAAACAGACAAAGGAAAGGCAACTGTAGCTAAACAACATGGAACCTTGACGCAGCCAGACGAGCAAGACGAGGGACTGAGTCTGCAGTCCAGCATTCAGACCTCCACACATGTTGTCTCCTGATAACTTGGTCCAAACGTCTTGTGAGAGGTTATCAGAAGGGAAGCGACTGTGTTTCTAAAATATGTGATGGCAAAACAAATTCATGATAGGTGTACAACACATGCTAGAAATTCCCTGTATTAGGGCAAACAAAGTTTGAAATGGACCATTTTTTAAAAAGGTGCCATGCTAATGCCTCAACCCAAAAGAACGTTAATCACAAATTATTCCCTTAGGTTTGCCATTATAAGAAGTTATTTTTAAAACAGAGTAGCATGACGGATGTTTCTTACAATACAAAATTACAATAGTTGCTATAAATTTTGAAATGTAGAGAAGCATATGCGTGGGAAAAAGTATTTCCAGCAGCAGTAATAAAAGAAAAAACAATGTTGAAGTATTTGTGCCGAGAGGATTCAGTCAACAGGTCCCTCTAGTGGCCATTGGTTGTAAAAGCCGTTGTGTTTACGTCAGTTTTGCTCAGACAGCGTGGATGTCCACAGTATGACAGTGCTTCCCAAAATTCTACAGCACACTAAACAGTTTTAAAATGGTCTGTACTAATATTGCACAAAATAACATCAATGCCTAACTCACATATATAGAATAAAAAATGTTTCACTTGACTTTTTTACTAGATTTTCCATGTGAATTTGAGTGTGTTTCATGTTTGATTCATCGCAGTTCAATGGAAGAGCTCCCGGAAGTTGCTGTCCTGTAGTTTGGGTGGTGCTGGAGTCCGAATGCCTTTGCTTTGCTTTCCATTAAACAGGAAGTAAACCTCCCTGTGAACCTTTTTCATTTCTTTTATTTTCAATTTAAGGCTCTGCCTGTTGTCGTCTCAGTGTAACAAATGAGACTTTAATCTGAGGACCTGACTACTTTGTCTTTAAAGATCCTGGGGTGCTTTTGGAAAGAGTAGGGGTGTTTACACTGATGTCCTGGCTGAATTCCACCGTAGTTGTAAACAGTCCTACCTTCCTGAAGTTCCCCTTAAATTCAGATTGTGAAACAGTTTATCTACCTGATCAGCTGTACAGTGGGGATGCCTTTGCAGAATGGCTACAGTACATCTGCCATGTAGGTAACCAATAGTGGATAAAGTGGGTCCTGTCCTATATGCAAAGAGATTTTCGTTCTGTAGAACAAATTCTCTGTATAAATGCAATTAAATATTCAAAGGCCTAAAAGTGCCTTCTACCCTAACGATAGATAGGAACTACAGTAAAGCCTGCATTAAAGCTCCAGGCCAATAAGGTCTCATACCATGTTGATTAGGCTGTTTAAAACAGGACTGTAGCCCCTCTTCTTGTCAAGGTTAACTGGTCGCTCTGATCCTGGCCATGAGACCTATGTGTAATCCCAGTATCACTGCTGTATGGCTGCTTCATTGGTAAGTATTACTTTAATTTTTCACTGAAGAGCGACCCTAAAGGATAGAACATTTAATTCCACTGCTGTAATAATGCACCACTGTCAACTCTTCTGCCTTCCACTGCATTCCAGTTGTCCATTTTGTAGTTCAGGCTTAACTGTAGCCCAGTCCCACATATATTTTAATATAAATAAGACCAATCTGAAATATCAGTCTATGTTTACTCTATGTAACAGAGGGTTAGGTTTCAAGGGACATTAAAGATATATTTAGCCATTAACATCTTTTTTTGTCTGTGAACTTGAACTTGAACTTTATTGCCATATGTAACCGGATTCTTACTTACAGAAAGTCTCTCGATTGTTAAAACAAGTGTAAAAACACAAAGTGCAGACAGTGCATCAAGACAATATACAAACAAACAGTAGACAATGTACAAGTAAACACGTATGGTGGTTCAAGTAGTGTGTTGGTTCTCAGTAAAAACCTTTGACGCATTCAACTGTGTCTACAATCTAAGATTGCTGATGTCGCTGGGTCGATGTTGAGATCAGTCCGTGATTGGTGAGTAGCACCAGGAGGTTTTGGTTTATTTTAATTGGCCTTTTGTTATGGGTGGGATTGGTGAAAGATGCATTTCATTTCCTATCAACTATTATTCTGATAAATTTCAGCGTACTTTTGGATTCCAGTTAAGTTCAAAGTTTGCCAAGCACTAGGTACTGTATGGTACCTTATATGAAACATTTAGGCCAGTTCTAAGGTTTGATTTCTTCTTTATCTTACACATATCTGAATAATTCTACAGTGTGTCCATTTTTCCAAGGTCTATCCCCAAACTGAGTGTTTAATTCACTCCAAAATAAACATAAGAGATATACTATTATGCTACTGCCACAACGCAGTTCCAGCCTTTAATCTATTTCAGATCTAAATCATCACCCTAGCTTAGCCTACACAATGAATAATGTTTCGGTTTAGATCTGCCTTTTGTTATTTTGGTACTGTGTAAACATTTACAGGAATGTGTGCAGCAAAATAACCTTCGATATTGTCCATTCCACAGCTTATGTGTATTGGCATTAAATGCAACACAGATTGCAGGATGAAGAGTGAAGAATAGACAAAGGTTTAAACCATCACAGACTTGAACATGTTCATGAAATCAGTGAAGGCCAACCAGATCATGAAAATTGCTTTCACGAAGGGAAAAAAAAAAACAGTTGAGCTGAGTAAATCAGTTCTTTCAAGTGTAAAAGGTGATGCATCACTGACAAGAGACTCTTTTAAGCTGAACAATTGCCTGTGCTCATTGAGTCTCACATGGTATCTAAAACTCTGAGCAACTCTTGAACATCAACATGAAACTGTCACTCCCAGTACACCTAGAGGGCGCTCTATTTCTCTCCTGTTCCTAGTTTCCTGTGATTATTCATGTCTTTCTGGTGTGTCTTGTTGTGTAGCCTATTTACTTCCTGCTTCTGCTCTGCTCCTCGCTCAGCATTGAGGTTCGGATGTCCTGAAACCCGCCTAGCACCAGGTCACCCCACGTCCGCTACCTGAGGGCATAGGTTTCTATACGGCATTTCCTGAACAGCTGAGCCCGGGCTAACCCCCGTCTCGCTGCTACGCATAGGGTCTTTTACGCTCTCCTGCCATTCCACGGTTCGTCCCTTCCGACATCCGTGACAGAAACTAAGGATAAAATGCTGTGGTGCTGATTCTTCATGCAGATGTTCTGAAAGTTGTGAACTGATCTAATTTTCCTTGGTGAAATCCTGTATTAGTCAGGGGTTCAGAAAGTCACAGACATAAGCTTTTAATATTACAAATAAAATGGACACCAAAGTATTTAGGGGGGAATGAGGGCACAGTGGTTAGGATTGGGGTGCTGTCTGTTTGTTAAGTTTGTATGTTCTCCCTGTGTTCATGTAGATTTCCTCTGGGTGCTCTTGGTTCCTCCCACAGTCCAAAAACATACTGATAGTTAATTGGCTTCAGAGAAAATTGGCCCTGATCTGCATGTGTACAGGTCTGTGTTTGTGTCTGTCTGTCCTGTGATGGTGTACCCTGCCTTGCACCTATTGTTTGTCAGGATAGGCTCCGTCTCCCCTGTGAGTTTAGAAAGTGGATGGAATAAAGAATTTCATTAGGAATAGTGTTTGAATATTCATGTTTTGAGTGCAAATATCGAGTTTAAGAAATGTGTAACAAAATTGAATCATCATTGGATCCAAATCATTGGAAAGAACTTCGCAAGGCACTGTATTCCACACAATAAGCAATACTACTTAAACCAAATATGCAGTACAAACTAAAAAAAGGACCAAATGTTAAAAAGAAAATGAAGGAAGCAGAGCTATTCAACATTCAGGAGTAGATGGCTGAGAATATATGAGGGCAAGATGTTTTGAGATAAAACTCAGGAAAATGGCAAGAGCTCTTAGTAGGACTCAGTATGACACCCAGGCAGCAATACAGTACAAACCCAGCATCCGTCTAGCTGTGTGATGGGTGGCTGATGGGACATGCAATGTATGAAAATTGGAAAACAAACGATTAATTTGAACACTTCATTAACGCGAAACAATGGCTTAAGTGGTAATGGTTAATTGAACGTTCGTGAAACGCAGGGGTTAGGCTAAAATGTCGGTCAGCAACGACATTGGATAGGTACATACTTTACACACTAGGGAAGAGTCACGGCCCACAGCAAACAAAAGGGTTTTATACGGTCATCTGACATGCATGAGTTGCGCCTAACCCGAGGGTATGTTTCCATGTCACAAGTGTGGGGTGAAACTAGTCAGGCTTTCTCTGTAGCTGGCTCACATGATGAAATGTGGTTGCACATTTAGAAATAATACATTTTTTGTTGATGGACTCTTTGAATGGAATATAGATGATTATCATGAAAAGATAGTTCAACAGTTTGAATGTTCAGGGCATGTTTCACAATCACATTTTCACTTTGACCACTTCTGAGCAAACTGGTATCTTGTTCCACTTCAGCATACAGATTGTGAACTGTCCTCGTCTCAGCTGGGCTCCAGGGAGTGTAGTTCTTCCTGCTGAATGTTCAGCTCTTCGTTTTGTCTGAAGATTATGAAACTGTACAAGAAAACAGTCTTGTTTGCACAGATAAAATGAAAGACACCAAAACAATTATATTTTAAACCACCTTTACATGCTTTCGAGATTTTATATCATTTCTTCTGATGATTAACAAAATTCAGTTCAGTTCGGTTTGTCATTTTCACAACTGCAATAAAATGCTTATTTGTATGTGTGCTCTGATCCAAAGACAAAATGGACATAACTATACCTTTACAAATGAAAGGGCCATGATAATTTGTAATAATATCTAATTTCATTTACATTGTAGTTTGTTATTATAAAAGAATACTTTACTTAATTAAATGGGTCAATAGTAGTATAATACACTAATGAAAAGCCTAGAAATCTCCTCTAGTTTCTTTCAAATAAGGCTTATGCTAAATCTCCACTAATAGTTTAACTATACAGGTCATCTACCTCTTCATTACAATATAAAATGTGGTATGCTTTTTATTTATTTATTGAATCATTGATTCCTCCTGAATTGTACAGACATTAATACTAATAGACACATTCCAATACAGTTAATACATTTTAAATAATGTTTAGAAAGATGACTCATTATTAGTTGTAGCATCTACTTATAATCATAAAACCAACTTTGTTATGTGATTTGTAGACAAGAGCACGTCTGGACTTTCAATTTCAAATCAGATATTATTAAATCCGTTAATATTAATCTCAATCTCATGAGGAGCCACTGTCCATACAAATGAATAGTAACTTAAATTATATACTGTTTTTATATACTGTTTGATCAAACAAGTAAAAGTAAAACAAGGGTGATCATATTTCTATTAAATATCATGTAATGTGACATGTTTAAAAAATTAAACCTCTTGAGTGACAGTGAACTAAATATGCTAAATCATTCAAGTTATTCTAAATATACTTGAGAGCTATGCAGATACATGGGACAGTCACTCATTTCTTCAAATAGAACAACTCTTGCACATTCTTGCTTAAGAAGCATTTAAAAAGTTGAGAAATCACCATCTTAATTGGTTCAAGTAGGTAGCTGCACCAGCATGTGTAGGCTGCAAAGGAACAAGTAAAGGTTTATATTTTATGGAATAAATCATCTTATTTGTATGCGGTATCTCCATCCTTGTGTCATTTTTCCCTGATTAGGATGTGCATTTGTCTTCATCATTGATCTTGATTTTCAGGATGGACTTCTCTTCCTGAGATGAATTATGCTATTAATTCTGAAAGCTGATGGTGACTTTGACTACAGTTATACACTGCAGTTTCGGCGTAATTTAATAAATGCTGTGTTTTGTGTACTAACTACATTCTAATCTCTTTTCAAATCAACATACCCCTGAATGTTTTCTGCACCAGCCAGATGCCCGTTAAAAGAGTTTTTAGTGTCTAATGGCTTTGGAATAAAGCAAAATAATATATATCATCCATTTCTTAAACTTCTTCCAATTTAGCCTACCTGGGGAGGACTGTGGGAGGAAAGCAGAGCACCTGGAGGAAACCCACATGAACAGAAGGAGAATATACAGACTCTGCATTTAGCACCCAAGTACCAGATTCCACCCTGCAAGGCAGGAATGCTAACCACTGTGCCCACATGCCACCCATGACTCTTACAAGCTTAGTGTAATATAAGAGCAGACTGGAGCTAGTAGCTAATATGATTCATTTGAAAAAGGGAAATCTCCTGTAATAAAGTTTTTAAAGTAGTTCTGAACTCTACATAATATCTTGTAAAGCCAGTTTAAAAACTACGTACTGAGAGAACACAAAGTGTACAAGTCACATCAAGACTCGTGACATGAAATATTGCTTTGTGAATTAATCAACAGTCCTCACAAGCAGGTAAACTAGCAACATACCCAATTTTCAAATCCTAGACATATTTAAGTGAAGAATGCATTATAGCCAAGTGTTTGTCTTAGATCCAGTAGCTATTTTCACAAGACAATGTAGGATTTTTAGCACAATGTTGTTTTGTTCCTGTAAAAGATGACAGGTGTACAATGCAATGATTTCAGAACAAGTTTTGAGAAATTAAGAATTACAATATATAATGAACTTCACTGGACAGGACTTTTTCATTGAAAAAGTCAATGATATGACCGAGAACAATAAGACTAAATAGAGGTTTGTATGGTGTGGGTGGATTTTACATTTATTATTGGATATAAACCACAAATAGCGATCCATATTATATTTTAAATATCTGAAGAAAAATATTCCAAGAAACCCCTACAGGTAGAACAGAACCTTGCGGGTTTTGTCTAGATCACTTTGTATTTTTCTATATAAATTACGTGGCTCCCTCTCTGGTAAGTATTTTATTTAAATTGATGCCTGAGTAGTTATAGTAGTAGTCAATTTCATTAGACTTTTTATAAAAGACTTTGAAGTTCTCTGATTTAAATAAAATTATACTTTATTATACACTTCTTTTCATTTTCAAAGTAAAAATCATTTTGGTTACAGATAGACTATACACATTTTCAGCAGTAAAATGGCACTTAACAGGTTAACAATGTTTCAAAGTGGAAAAGGGAAAGACAAGCAGATGAGATGACTATATTATACATTAAAAATCTATAGTTTAAGGCTACACACACTATGTACAGCAATGCTAGCATGGATAATATACAAAACTAGTGTTTAATGGTAAAATCAGCTATTTAATACTGGCACTTAATGCAATACAATAATGAAATACATTTGGCTTTTTTCAGTTAACAATAACAAAGCTTAATGTAGTGATACTTTTTACCACTAAGCTAAATAAAGATAAAATACACAATACACAAAAAAGAAGTTGAAACATGCATGTGATATCAGGTAAATAACTTTAAAATTTAGAGCTTTTGCCATTAACAAAATCCATCCACATTTCCTGACAATTGTAATAGCTTTATATTACATTGTTTTGTTGTTTTAACACCATAAAGAAAAATTAACAGATAACAAACATTGCACCTGGCAATTCTCTTTATTTGTAATGTTTTTTAATCAAAACATAAAACATTCAAAATATGGGACCTGCCCTTTAAGATTTTTTTATACTTTCAGAAGAAGTTGCTGAACATGAACAACACAAATCTGCAAATGAAGGAACAAGCATCTACATCATACAACCGCAGCTGATAGTGATATGAGGCTCTTGCCCAAAAATCTTATTCTAATTTGATGATAATCAGTCATATAAGATAAGATGGACATTATTAAAATATGAATATTTGACTCTATTAATCACACTGAAAATTCTGGTTTATCCCTCTGCAACAGCATGGTTTGTGTTTAAAGTTTTATGAAGCAAGTTGGGAAAACTCCAGGATTTTAATGAAGTAAAAAGCAATATGGAATAACAAAAATGTGGGGGCTTTTAATCCTAGAAAAGCACTTTAAACATGCCAATGGAAGGTGTTGAAAAAACAAAGCAGAAACCTTTCATGCAGTAGTAATAATAACTGTGTTTACTGTAGTCAGATAAAATGAGTTGAAATACTTTCATTATGTGTGATATTAAAACATAAGAACTCACTTAAGGAAGATCCTCATGAGCTGCTTTGAATTAATTCAGATTCAATTATTTTTAATTACCATTCATATTTTGCTCTCTTGAAGTGCCTTATAAGATTAAACATGGAAACTAAAGCCTTTTGGGTTAAGAATTTAAGTGCTTTTGTGTTTTCCATTCTGAATGAGGGAAAGCCAGTGGGTACAAATGTCGCTCTTCGGCGCGGAGTCTTGTTGGAAACATTGCAGCTGTGATTATGGGTAGCACCTCGTGCATTATGGGTAGCACCTCTTGTATTATGGGTAGCACCTCATGTAGTGGTGTACTTGTTGGTGACCCGGGAGTTGCTCTGTTCTGATCCACGGTCAATGGCTTTTGACTTCATGCAGGACTGCTTCTCATCCAAAGGCAGCATGTCTGGTGACACGCACCAGCAACACAAGCACGACTTGAGAAGAAAGAAAGTATAAAGTACTTTTATAAAATGACCAATAAAAAGTCCACATGTTTCACTGGAATAATACCAGACAACATACTGTAGATAATAGTGATATCATTAATGATAATAGGAAAAGATGTTCAATTCTTTCAATTTTCTTGATTTCTGAAGGCAGCACATTTCAGTAATTGTCCTGTAAGTATCTGTTAAGTTTTAATCACTGAACCAGTGGGAAATTAACTCAAGATTTGTTTTCTGCTTCTTCTCTCAAGTTTAGAGTTCACTGATACATTAAAGTGTGACAGAGTGGTCTCAAAATCATTTTTTTGGAATTAAAATGAATTTTTTAGGATTATTTGTTAGAATTATTTCTAGATTATTTTGGAAATTGACGGTTATCAGGTTTTTAACACCCATCCAATTTAGAAATTGGCTTCATGACTATAATTACCCCCCCCATGCTGCATGGGGAGAATTATTTTCCTGAAAACATCCTCCTCAAACACACACCTCCGGCCCGTCAGAGACGTTTGTAATTTGACATGCTCCAAGCTTTGCAGTGCGTTACAGAAGAGCGTGTGCCAGTTGCAGAGCAGCATGCCTCTCACTAATGTCACTGCAGGCCTGCAAGTGCCCGGGAGGTTTCAGGAGCTGCACTGAAAGCTGAGACGGTCCAGATCAAGAAAAGCTCGCCCACCCTTAGCAGCACTCAGCACTTGTACGGCAGAGATAGGGGTCATGAGCTCTGACTGCTGGTGTCGGCTCCACAGAGCTCAACTTCTCAACCAGAAATGCGTGTCTCACTCTTTCAGGGCTTGATCCCTTCAGAATTGGGCTTGGAATTGGCCAAATCATGAAGATTAGAAAATGTATACATTTAAAAATGTACCATTTTAGAATGGGCTTCCCAACTTCATCTCCAGTCCTGGGGGGCCACTGTGACTGCATTCATTTTATAATTCACAATTATTTAAAGGCAAATCTGTTGAATATGTGAGTATATTGCTAAAGTTTAAAGACCACACTCCTTTTTAGCTACAGTATACATAAATTATATATTGTGCTTACAGGAACAAAATCAATGTAATCAATTCAGAGGCAGAAGTTTACATATGTATTACCTCAGATACATTACTGGCACTGATTCTAAAATCTAAAACATACTGCAGTTTCTCCAGCAGAAATGCCAAAGGATGCTGCTGTTCATATATACAACACTAGTGTGCCATATAAGATGGAACATATGATAGTAAAATAAAAATCAAATAAATATAATAGTAAAGCTAATAAGTAAAAATAGAGTGAATTCCTTACCCTGAAACAGGTTTTGAACCTCTTGCTGACCACATAGAGAGCAATGGGGTTTATGCAGGAATTCACTGAGGCCATGTTGATGCCAATGTAATCCAGAACTAGGAAGAAGCTATAATAAAAAAAAATTGTTAAAAACTTTTAAACTTGTGCAGCGATACTGCAATTTCAAATTTAAAAATCCTTCTCACCTCAGTAGTTCGCATCGGTTGGGGTCTTCCTCATTGTAAATTGTTAATTTCAAGATTCGGCTGAGGTGCAGTGGTAACCAGCAGAGAGCAAATACCAGTACCAGGCAAAACACTGTCTTTGCCACCTCACGTCTCTGGGAAAATAAAACAAAATATATGCAAAGTCTCAAAATGCTTTGGTGGATGAAATAAACTCCGACACATGCTGTCAAAGTAACCAAACCATTTCCTACCTGTTTTAGGTGGTCGTTTAAAGCAATCTGCACCCCATTTTTCTTGCTCAGCATCTCTGAAGTCATGAGAGTATAAAACACTGCCGTACAAGCAAGGGGCATGCAGAAATAGAAGCTGAACAGCCACCAATCTTTTGCTGACTTATAGAACTGGTAAAACAAAGAAGAAAAAACATTAGATTTGCTGTAGGTATAGCTTTGAAACACTAGATATAACAATTCTGCTTACAAAACACTTGCCATGGGGCCATTAATCTATTTTATGCCAAATACTGAATGACTTAATAGGAAGGTCAGTGTGTGCAGACATGAAAGTATATATGCCAGTTTGTTGCACGTCGTCCCAAACTGGCACCTTTACCTGGTTGTCACTATATAAACATATTTATTTCATTGCAATGTATGCAATGTTTATGCAAATATTTCACTGTAACTCTGTTCCTAATCTGCAAAGGAACACAGTGGTTGGAAAAAAATAAGGTTGAGTTACCTCATAGGGAATTAATTACTTTACTGTTTGAATCACAAAAATGTGGTGAGGAATTTCCTACTCCTGTAGGTGCACAATTTATCCTGCTAGTAATCAGTCCCAGAAGATGTCAAGATAATTGTCAATATGTTCTGTTTCTCACAGACTTGATAGTTTGTTGAAAACTAAAACCTTCAAAACGTCTTGACTTTTCCACTGTTTTATACTGAGCATTTGATGTCCTTAATAAATATAATCTTTGATTCCTATTCACAGTAAAATGTTTCATTTCACTTGTTTATGGCCCTTGCATTAAATGGGCACTAGAATATAAATACCAAAGCTAAGAAACTTAATGTTGAGAATTGCTAAACCTAAGATTCCTCATGACATGAAGGATAATAAAAGGAATGGGCTTGCTCACCTTCATAAACTGGGATGTCTGCATTGGATGCAGCAGGCAGATTCGGAGGTGTTCCCCTTTGTAATCCATTGTAATCATATCAAAAGCAATAGCCTCAGGCACAGCTAGGATAACTGATAACACCCAGATCAATGTAATCTCTATTGCCGTCCACTTTGGGACTCCAATTCCTTTAATACGATTCCAAGATGCCACTGCTCGATACCTGGATGTGAAATGAAGAATGTTACAGTATATCTAATACAAGAACAATCTGAATGCTTAAATATCAGTTAATGCATAAAAATGTAATTAAGATTTTTCAGGTACCGGTCAATGCTCAGTGCACATAAACTCAAAACTGTGATCCCAACAGATGTTTTTTGAATAAAGGGCACAAGTTTGCACATTCCAACTCCAAATGGCCAGTCTTCTGCTAGGAGCTGTGAACAAGAATGACTGAATGTTAACCATCATTGTTTATAAATACGAAACCATTGTCCTGTCTTAATTTTGGAAATAACCCCCAAACAACTCTGAATTCAAGATGACTAAAATGGGGTTGTGAATTATGCTTGGATCACTGTCACAAAGACCATGAATGAGAACAAATTGCTTACTTTCTGTAGTAAAGATTAAACTGGTACTGGTATCCTTCAGACATTCCTACTTCTTAAATAGTACACATTGTGCATACATCACAATGAAAGATTTTGCTAGAATACATATTTATGTATTTAATCTTCTAAGAATGTATTGTAAATATACATACAAATTTTAATGTATCTAAAGGCTTCAAACATTTGTAGGGGTTATGATGTGGGAAAGTAATAAACACGTGCTTTTTTGGGTGGGGTACTCCGTAATACATTTCTTCATTTCATCACATAATATTTCATGTTCTTTGGTCAAAATAATAAAAAGGAAACGCAGCAATTGCATACTGTAATGTATAATATTTACACTATATATTTCAAGAATACGAGTTGAAATCGTTTGGTTAAATAGCCTTCATACAAGACTCTGTATAGTTAATTTAATAACACTGACATATAAATTGTAAATCGTATCTGTTACATACTGTGAAAAAAATATGAAATAATATATTTGTACAAATGAACGTTTTGTATTTCACTTTTCACATATTCACGTTTGTATTGATGTTATTGTTCTGATAACTCACTCTGAACAAAGTCTGAAACACTACAGGGGATAACTATGCAACTTTTTAAAATATTGAATATTTAGTATTTTTTTCAGCAAGAAACTAAATGATCGCATGACTTACAAAAATGCAGTACCATTTTTGGTACTAATGGAAATGGTAACATAATATAACAAATAGAGAAGATTGTAGTTATGAGTGTTTTGGGACGAATGGGATCAAATAATAAAACGTTAATAAATTATAACTTGCATTTCACTCAGTGAAAAAAAAACACTTACCTTGTACACATTTATAGGTATATCAATCACAATATGCAGGAGATCTCCCAAAGCGAGACTTGCGATGAGGATGTTAGGCCCGTTTCTCATGCATTTATTTTTGTAGATAATTCTCAGCAAGGTTGAATTTCCGATTATTCCAACTACAAACACTAGGCAAGAAACCACGGTGTTAATGTATTTAAAAGTATCCCTTATTTCGGTGGGTCCTGCACACATAGGCAACTGGTTGGAACCTCCTGACTTGATGGGTTTCGGGAAGTTGCGAGGCGTTAGCGAATGGGATGTATTTGAGCTCACTGTGTTCCTGCTGGTTAGTGATTTCGGCGTAGGAGCCAGGAACGAGTGTTGAGGATGAAGGTCGTGCGAGACAGGTTCCAGGTTTGGATCTTTGCTTTGAGCAGAGACAGAGCGACTGAGAGGCTCCGCGAGTAGCTGTAACAGCAGCAGTGCAAGAAACTCTTTCTTTGCCATGTCAGGTTTTGTCTAATTTGGTGCTGTGTCCAAGGTGCAAAAAAAAATGGACCGTCTTCTCCGGGATCTGGTTTTAAATTCTGTTTGCTCCTCTGAAAAAAAGAAAAAATAGTTTAAGTTTCCGAACGCCTGTAACCTTAACAGACATAACTCGACTTACGCTTTCCAAGACATGGCATACCCCTCTTTTAGCCACAGCCAAGAGTATTTTAAGAGTATTTTATATATTAACTGTATTGTACATATTAAAAAAAAACAATCCCCGGTACTCTGCAATGTGTATTTCGGTTAAGTATTAATCTTATCCCGGTCAAACAACAGGCATCCACTGAATTGTGTAATTATCTGTCAATAAAGGGGGAAAGTGGCTGCGGACAGTTGTAAGATTGGTTTTGTTAACATCGATTGCAGTTATTAACAGCCTATAATCGAGAAATTGAGATCTCCACAAACAGACGGCATATGTGTGTAGCTTTGCTGTTGCTGGTGTTGATTACGTGTGATTAACTTAAAACAACAACATGCTTAAAATATATGGTAAAATAAATTAAAGTAAGTATGAACGAAATTAATTCATTAACATCACTTTACAAATGAAGTTTAATTTCGTTGTAACAAAACGTTTCATCTCCTAGCAGCTCTACTACAATTATCTTAAGTCTTTTCTTTAGTTGGAAGATTTCCATAAGAACGTCTTGTATTACCTTATCGGGAACGCTTCAGACACAAAGACAACGCACTTGCATGATTTGCAGAAATCCGCCAGCTCAGCGAGAATAACCTGTTACTTTCATCCGCGCAGCTCTTGGCTGCAGCTTGTGAAAGATCCTACTGGAGTCGATAGTTGATGTTACTCCCAGACGGTTTTATCATCCGCGCTGTGCCATCAATCATAGTTCTATTAGTGCGGACTGACCCCTCCTACGTAGTGTGCCCGGCAGAAGAAAAGACTGAGCAACATCAGGCAGGGCCCCTTCTCCTTTTGTAAAGAGGCGAGCATACTGCCGTTTTACGTTTTACGCGTTTGTTTTAGCGCTTTCTGTTTTAAAATACCAACACCTTCCTAAGAAGACAGAACATACAGCTAGTGAAAAATGACACCTCTCATGCCGCGCAGGAAATAAACTTTATTTAAAAATATTTCGAGCTACTATTTTGGGTCACATGGTTGTTCATATGGAGAACCAAGGAAGAAAAACCTGATATTTCCAATGCATTCTGGAACGGTACAGAGCTACATTCTATGGCCTCCCTGAGCCCTAGTTAGTCTTTCAGTTAAGCGCTTCATTCCTGCACTCTGTACAGTGAACTGCTGCTTTATCTGCCAAAGCAGAGCACAGTGGGTGTAAAGTCATACTGTAGTTGTTCTTTGTGTTGGGCTTGGAGGTGAAAACTGCCAAAGCTCATCATTACAAAGCATGGTAAAAGGTTTCAGCTTTGGTATGTTACCGCTGGTAATTCATCTGTGATTTTTCTAACCAATTTATCCACTACAGGGCTGTGAGGGAGTCGGAGCCTATCCCAGCAAGTGATGGGTGGAAGGCAGGATACACCCTGGATGGGATACCTATCACACACAGACACACACACACACTCACACCAGGGCTGATTTTCATAGAAGCCAAGTAACCTGCCAGAATATCTTTGAACTGTGGGATGAAACCAGAGCACCCATGCAAACACAGGGAGACAGGACCCCAGGAATTAAACAGAGGACTCCAGCACCATGAGGCAGTAATGCTCACCACTGCACCACCAGATAAAAGAAGGGAGTCATTTGTAATTTTGCCACTTAATAATGTTGTTTGACCTCACGTTGGCCAAAGCCTTTTCAGTGGGCAGGCCTGTGAGCTGCCAAGCTTTGGGTGGAACAGTACGTGTTTCACTCATTGCAGTGTTTGCTGCTGCCACAGGGAAGCTTCAGCCGAGGAGATACAGGGTCCGTGCTAGCTTTGTATGATGGTCCGAGGCTGACTTAGACTCACCCCTGACTTGTTCTGTTTCACAGTGCCTCTCCACGTTCAACAGCTGTGGCCGTTTTCTGCAGTGGCGGACAAATGACAGAACCCTTTATGCTCACGAAGAAACATATGAGCACCATGGGATTCTGAAACAGTATGTTTCTGTTTGGAAATCTTTCCATTACTAATCAACCATAATAACAAAAGACTGGCGGTGTTACTTTCATTTAAAAGTACGTTTGCAGCTGACATTTAAAGGAGAAAACAGACCCTTTTCGAATGTTGTCTGCAGGATTGCTCATATGTTCGTAGTGGAGTATTGTCTCAGGATGCTACTTACTTTTATTTTATTGAAAGTTACTTTCAATAATATATTTTTATATTTTACTTTTGAAAAGTCAGCTATATAACTATAATGGTCCTGCCAGCAAAGTAAACTCTGCCATGCCTTTGTCTCAAGTATCAAACTTCAGACTGAGTTTATCACATGTCAGCCTAGACGTAGAACACAAAAAACTGCTGAGTTGTATGAACTGTTGCATTTATTTGAATATGTACAGGGCACAGACAATTTTATTTTCAATCCCGTTGAACTGTCACTTGTAGCAGACAGATCTTACACAACCTTTGCCCGATGCTTCTGCTGTTTTTGTGAAGTTGTATTGGGAGCTTATTGTAGGCTTTGCAACCCGAGTTTAAACATAGGTATAGATCTGGCTTTCTTGGAAACCGTGCTCAAGCAACCTTTTTTCAAGCAAACAGACATTCATGTGTGTCTCAGAGCTTCTGCTTTATGTGTACTGGAAATATGCCAATTCTTGCCCACTGGGCATGCATGGCCAAGCAAAGAGGAGAAAATGAAAGTTGATAAGAGAGAAGGAGGCATCAAGAACAAAATTCAAGAAAATTCAGGGTTAGTAGGCAGTTCACAGCATAAAAGCTTAGATTGGTAGAACCTTTGAAGGTAGTCATATATTGTATTTCCATATTTGCCATTTGTCTTCAGTTATGCTTCTTGAAGAAGTTACCCTTTCCTTATTGGCTGTTTTCCAAGAGGAACAAGAGCCTTTGATCTGAAATTATGATCAAAAGAATTTGAGATCTGAAAAGAGCACTAAACTGTTACCATGCTGAGTTTTACAAAGCTGAAATCCACAAGCCACTTCTTCTAACTTCTAACTACAGTAGATAAATGAACTAAGAGCGATTTCTCATTGGGAAAACTTTTAGAATTGTATTTCAGAATGGCAATCCACAAGCCACTTCTTCTAACTACAGTAGATAAATGAACTAAGAGCGATTTCTCATTGGGAAAACTCAACTTCTGCAGAATTCAGATATACGCATAAAGAATCATTACAGGTTACTACCAGAACTTTTGTATTTTAAGGAACGCTGAGGATCTGATGAGGTGTTTTAAGAATCCACCTGATATTTGGCTTTAAGTTGCCTGTTTCAAAAACAGTGTTGAAAGGGAAAAAACCCTGTGCCTTTTTCTAGAGAACACACAGTTGTCATAGTACAGGAGCAGGCAAATTTAGCTCTTCAGTTCCATATTATTACAAGACTTTCTTCTTTGATCTAGCAAACTATTAATGTATTGACATCATTTAATCTAGACCCCCATCTGAGTCTGAGTTACGTCATCATTGATCAGCAATGAAATGTGAACAAATTCCCATTTACTAGGATAACCTGGAAACCATTTTTACAGCAGGGAATATACTGGAGCAATTTGAGCCCTAATTACTATTCCACACTGCTGCTAATTTACTTACAGTAATAGTTTGAAATAAATGCTCTGATCTTTCTCTAAGAAACAACATTTCTTGGCTGTGCTTAATAATGAGGTCTAAGAGAAAGACTTGTCTATACCGTTCTAGTTTCATTAGACATAAATATAATCTAAAATATATACAGTAAATGATATACAGCAATTAAACAAATACAGGCTTTTTGAAAGGATTTCATAACCTGTGACAGTGTTTTGAATGTCAGATGCAACTGTAAAGATGCTTCACCTGAAATGGTGAATTATGTTCTTGACAAAATCATAGGAAGTTCTCTCAATGTATGCTGAGAAGTGGTACACACGTCATATTACACATTGCTTTCTGTCTGTCGCATGAAGAGAAGTACAATCTGAAGGACATGTTCACAAACTAAGGTAAACTTCCCGCTCAGTTCCAAGGAACGTTGATTTGAATGAGACACACCTGGTTCTGCGATGTTTTATGAGCTTGTTTTCAGAGTTACTGGCTACAAATAGGAGGAGTGTTTGTGCAGCACTGAATCCAATGAGACCAGAAGAAACCAGATGGAGTCAGAGTTCTTTATTTTAATTGAGCATGCCCTGAGGTACGTTCAGGGCTCTGGTGTGGTACAGTTAGTTTTATCAACTTTTTTAATTTGATACATTTTATAAACTATATCTGGTTTTTCAGTGAATAAAACCGTCGAATGCTGTGTTATACTACATCAGTTTCTCCTCATTTATGTTTTTTTTAAAGCTGAGAATACAAACTCTCATGTTCCTGGAAATAATTATGGGGTGTCTGATAAAGTTGAAGGATCCATCCATTTAATTTTACTTCTTTTTTTCCCTTCTTTCTTTTTTTCCTCCTTTTTGCCCTGATGATAGATAGTTGTGGTAAAACACTCACCACAAAATAACATGACCATGTTTTAATTTATGAATACATATAGTTGTCAGTGATATACAGTTATATGATACAACAGCACACAGATTAATAGAAGATTACTATTGATATTTCTCATATCATGTACAACATGTGATGTGACTACCAATTTCATTGACGGTAAAATACAATTTTAAGGCCATATTTTTCACGCCCCACACTCTCC